AATATTGTGAAAATTACTTTCTGAAAAGCAATGAGAAAATCAAAAATACAAATACAAATAGATGAAAATGCAGGCAAGAACATAACTCAGTACGTTTTTAATTAAGTAACATATCAAGGCACATATTGTTGTTGAGTGCCGTCAAGTCAGTGTTGACTCATGGTGTCCCAGTGGATAGTTCCCCTGTCACTATCCATAGAGTTTTCTTGGCAAGATATGGAAGTAGATTGCCAGGGCTTTCTTCCACGCAGATACCGCCAACACCGTACCCCCATACTGCTGCTGCCCAATACGAGTTATTAGAGAACCTTGCACCCGACGTGGGACAGAAACCCACTACTCTGAGATTGTGAGTCTCATGCTCTACCAACACAGCTAGTCAGGGTTCCAAGGTACAACACACTCTTAGCATACATGAGAAAGAAAACTCACTTGTTTTTGTAGAGTTTAAACTGATGGATGTTTAGATGGTTAATCACTATTGCACTGACAGTAAATGTTTATTTAGGTAAGCAAATCTAGTTACTAACCAATATCTGAAACCACCCGTTACTGTCTGGCTGTGGTTTAAGTGTTACAAACCTCAAACATGATGAGTAATGATTACAACTTGTCGTAGACTTCCTGTTTCTCCTGTCACTATTTGTCAAAACTACCAAATGGACAACAAAAGAAACTGGATTTTTTTTTCATTTCTAACATGGAATTCGGGAGGAGATACTGGGTTTAATAAAATGAATATATACAGTACACTCTGTATTTGTCAGATACAGATGATATATCGATGTCAAAGCTAGTGCCACCCTTGAATTTTAAGGCAGTGGATAAACAGGAAATGAATAATCAGTTGTTTAACTGCCATGCTTAGTAAGAAAAAGTTCTCATTTTATGTTGGTAGACATGTCCTATGTAAACAAGTGGCTACTAGAATGATAATTAGTTGTTCATTTCTAATATATATATTTGTAATATGATTTATTTATATGTTATTACAACTGCACAAAACTCTTCAAAAATATGTTACACATTTCCCAATCTGACAATTTTTTAGAGTCTAAAAGTCTAAAAAAGGGTGTTATTGCATATCTGAAGCTCAAACGTGATGAAGATCCAAGCCGTTTACTACAAGAGCTATAGAGCTGCAAACATACTTCAAAGATATATGCATAAGAGAAGTACTTCAAAGTTAAAACAGGTGTCAGGTGTGTTCATGAGAAAGCAGATGCATTGAAATGCATCTGAATGCTACAAGCAGTTATAGTAATTTTTATGATGAAGGATCACCATTAGAATAAGTCTAGTATTATTTTTTTCCCATTTTTGAAGGACTGAACAATATTTTATTATATTGTCAGTATGAGCTTCAAAATGAATAAACCCACAGTTTAGATAGGTTTGAACATCGTGACAATATTTTAGATACTTTTATACTTTAACTACATTAGGGAGCCCATTCCAGTACTGGACTTGTACATACTGTAAATACTATTTTTCCTGTCTTATATCCTTCACCACGTACCCCTTTGGCTACTGGAGAAAAATTACAATAGGAATATCATGAGAAGATCAAAATGAGTACTTAATTTGAATTAGAAATATAGTGTAGTGTCAATTGTCTTTTAGGTCTTAAAACCATCAAATTTTAAAGTCTGTGTTTCAGGTCTCTGCCCCTCTCCCAATTTAGTTCTATGTCTTGAAAGTACTTGAGAGAATTCACAAACTCGGTGTTGTGCCTGTGTGCTCATTCTCATGTGTACATCAGTATCCTGTGTCTTGAACTATGTAATTCAAATAAGCATCTTAACTACCACTTGCCAGAATGAATGAGTGCTCAATGAACTTAGAAAGACATTATTGACAAACAGTTAAAGTTTAACAAACAATACTTAACACACTTAAACCTTTTTCAGATAACAAATGCCTATAATATGTAGTGTATATAATTGCATACATACAGAACACACCCAGTATTGGCCAAAATTGCAACAGTTAAGTTATTATGCAAGTGAAGCTCTAAGCTCCTATCAGGGAAGCATAAAGAAAGAGGCTAATATTTTTTTTTGTATGTCTGAGTACCAAGTCCTGAAGATACAAAGATTTATTAAGAAAAGAGAATTGGTATTTAGAAAGCCCTCACACAACACAGAACATTTTTGCTTAGCTATTAACATTAATATAACTATAACTTATTTTTTTAACTACACAACTATGATAAAAGAAACATAACAAAATGTTGGCTGATGTGAAAATGAGCAAATATTGCATCATCTGTCTAAAGATTATAGAGCCTAAGCTCTCATGAAGCATTGGTTATGGTAAATGTGTTTCTGATAATGTACTTGGATAGTAAGTAAAATATGTAATCTGACACCGTTAAACAAAGCAGCAACTGTAACTTTGAGTGGAGAAAAAGACAAAAATTGATTGCATACTATTTTTTTGAAGAGGCTTGGTTTTAGAAAAGGGTTATGGGCTAAGACAGTGTGATATGCTAAAATTGAAAATGATGAGACAGGGCTTTTAAATGTTCAAGAATATTTAGGTGCGTGTGTCCTAGAGACAGAACATCATGTCTTATTGGAGCTGATGGTCAGGACCAAGCCTGACGATATTTTACAATATCACGAAACGTTAACCATACGTCACTCAGCTCATGAAGACCGTAGTATAAATATATTTCAAGATTTACTGATTTAAGACAATAATGTCAATGGGAAAATCAAAGAAGATGTTTGTGATGCTTCTAACAGCAGCACACTCAAGTTTCACATGAAAGAAAAGCTTAAGTTTCAGCTCTTAATGGCTGATAGTAGCACAAGAGGCTTTTGCAGGTGGTTCTATGATTTTCATTAAAAGAACATCAGTTTTTGATACTGGCAGTTATCAAGAGCAAAGAGCAAGGTTGCATGCGTCAGATGTGGTGTATGAGTGCATCTGCCATTAATCTCAACAGGCCCAACTAAAAATTCTCCATGTTCTCTGGTAAGCCTTTGCTTTAGCTGAGGACCACACTTCATTATGATGTTAAAGTTAGATTTAGTCAAAAATGATCTGTGTCATGGTGGGTTAAAAAAGTTCAAAAGCACTGCACTACAAATCTGAAGGAAACCTGGGAGAAACATCAAACTTTGAACGCTGCTCTACTGATGAAGCATTAAGACATGAGTCTCAATGTATACTGTACGGATCTTAAAACATCCAATGTCTGAGCAAGAAATAAGAGTTTTCTTTTTAAAATGTCTTTTTTCTTTATTAGATAAGTTAGGATAAGTTAGAATTCAAGCTTTCTTCTGGCTATTTTGTAGGAATACTCTGAGATATCCATCAAAGACCAACAACAGTCTTCCTTTCTGTCTTCTTGGAGGTGAGGAGGCTGACACTGTACAAGATCTGCCATGCAAAGATGAACTATTGGAAATGTTAACTGGCAAACAAAACAAATTGACTTTATGTGCTGAAGATGGCTTTAGCTTTCTTGGCCCCTGGAAGACTGTCTAATGTAAAGGTTACCCATGTAGATGCAATGGATTACATTTGCACAAAACATGCATCAAGGGCAAGAATTTACAAAGAAATGAAAAACCATTTAAACCGGAATGATAGGACTCCTAAAGCAAGCAAGATACAGAGCAAATAGAGCCAAAAAGGAACTCAAAGGGAAAACATCATGTCAAATGACCAAGTAATTTAACGCTTATGCAGTAAATAAATGTCAGGAGTATTAGATATAGAATCCAAGAAATGGAAGACACCACATTAGCAGAAGATTAAGATGTACTTGGATTAATTGAAGCATGTCTAATAGAGCTATGTTCAGGAATACTGCATTGCTGAAGAGTCAGGAAAGATGGAAGAGATGAAGAGCATTCAGCCACATGAATTTAACTCAGATGGCTCAAGGCAAAGACAATTCCAAGACAAATCAAAATTCAAGACTGAATGAACTCCTGGAAGATGGCAGTTAATCTAGAGAGTTACGTGTTATAATTTTAAGATGGGCAACTTCGAGCATGAAGAAACTACTTATAAAAAAAGACTTAGGTGTTTATTTTAATTTATTTGACATCATTTACATATTTTACACATTTCACCATCACCATGTTTAAAAAATGAGATGTAAATAATTCAAAAAATGAGTATCAAAATACATCAATATATCACCTGTCAGTATATATTGCTACTATGCAATCAGTCCAAAGAAGAGTACACAACTGAGATCAGAGACATTTTAAATATTGAAATGACAAAATAAATTTGTTTTATCTTTAACAGAAATGACAAGTATTCAAAATCCTCACAGGCCCTGACAAAATCAGGAAATCTAACTGTATGGACTTAACAATGGAATCAACAGTGAAACATGAACCAGGACACAAATGTAAACTCATGGGAAGTGCATGTAAACCTCTGAAAAGGAAGTTCTTCTTTGCACAAACAGTTGTGGGAGTGTGAAACATTGTACCCAGCCATTTTGCCCAAACTGAAATCCTGGCTTTTTAAAAAAGAAACAGTTGGATGAGTACCTCAGATCAGTCACTAGTCAGCGTATGGGTTAAAAAGACCTCCTCTGTTTTGCAACTTTACTTACCCTAAAACATCGCCGTATCAGAACCTTCCATTAATAATATTGAATGAAACAACGATAATAACGATACATGCTTCTTAGCATTCATGTACCAGGAATGGGAAAACGTTGGAGTTGAAGTATTTGAAATAATCCTAACTTTTGGTAGATCGGATTTTGTTACAGTAATTAAAATCGACTTTACTGGTGTAAAAGAATTGTGATGAGCGAAATCCTCACATATTGAATCTTCAATATACATGTTATTATAGAGAAATAACTTTTTTTAAAAACTGGTTCATTAACACCCGTTAATTGCATTTTAGTTTAGTAATTACTATAAACATTCACCTTAATTGTACATATTAGTGTGTACTGTATGTTGAGACCATGAAACATGAGATGTTATTCATCCCACATGAGGGCGATTTGGGGAGCAAGAGTGACGTCAGAATGTAGCTTTCCATTGTGTTGCTAATTTAAAAGGAGATTCCGTCAAATCGTCTTTGTAACTTTGTTCTTCAAGTTTTTTTTTTCCATTTCTTAAGTTGTGTTAGAGTCGCTTTTTTCCCGCAAGGAGGATGAAGTAGGTTGGATGAAGGAATCGCTAAACTTCCCATCGGTGTCCGAATGAAATTTAAATCGCTTTTGTCTTTTCTCGGGAATCACTGTTGGGTGCAAATTCCCAATCCAAGGAAAAGTCTTGGTCGTCCTTTGTTGGCCACGTTGGGTTGTTTTTAATCGCTATGGATCTTTACCAATTTAAGGACATCTTTCTGGTTAAGAGAGTGTTTGCTCTCGAGAATATGACAGATTTTACAAATGCTAAATCACATGGATGCCATAACGGAGCTCTAATGGACAGATTTGGAGTTTTAATACAAGGTCTACTTGCAATTATTGCCTTCAGCACTTTGATGAGTAAGTATCTATGAAAAACGTGAACCTCTTTTTCTCTATTCCTGAATGTTAATTAGACTTGCTAGGTATTTTAAAAACCCGCTACTCTGTTAAAAGGTTAAGTGGCGGAACACGTTCAGTTTGCGATGCGTGGCACATTGTTTACTTCGCTTAGACAAAGCAACAGACATTTAAAGAGACCGTTGTCGATACAACCTTTTTTTTTAATTAAAAAAGTTTCATTTTTCCCTAAATCTTGTGCAGTCTTGTTGCGGATCGTAAGAATGTGATCTGCCTGATTTGTCATATACAGTAACAATGTTTAAACATATAATGTAATGTTTAAACCTACAGTAGAGCTGATAGTTACAGTAGTCACCTGGACCAGTGTTCTTAAAGCAGTATTCATAAAGTTGTGTGCATTATCAGTTGGATAATATCTTGACATTGTCAAAAAGGCATTTAAAAGCAGTGCACTTCACTTTATTTTACCTAAACAATTTAATACATTTCTTCTTGTAATCCCATGACGAAAATCTCGAAGTTCGCATAGTTTGCAGTTGGAGCACTTGAACAAAACCTGTTATGTTGTTCAT